TTCTTATCAGATTCTTATAAGACTCTTATCAAACTCCATTCACTTTCCTGCGTAATCTTATATAAGAATTTGATAAGAATCAGGTAAGATTCTTATCAGAATTGCAGAAAATTTTTTGTCTAGGGATCGTGCTCAATGTCTATAGGATTTATTTGTCCCCAATATCTGCATGTAAATTGATAAGGACTAGTATCACCTATCATTTCATGAATTAGTGGCATTGATTAAATTGTTCTTTCATATACAGGTTCCATTCTGCTAACGTGAACCTGTTATTGAATTAACGATTTTTCATCTTTCACTAACTATGTAAGAGGATGTTCTTTTTGTATAACTTTGTATGGCCCTAAATATAATTCGCCAAATTTCAGACGTTTACCCAACTGTTTAATAAATACCAAATCACCTGGATGATAGGTTGGGTCAACATTCTGCTCCGTATCACCCCGGTCTGAATAATACTGATGTTGTGGATCATTAACATTATCATTACTGTATTCAATAGGATTTGTATTCATGTTATTGATTGACAATAAACTTGGATTGATTGTGCGTGATCGTGTTCTATCTGCTATATTGCTCATAATTACCACTTAAATACGTAAATTTTCACCTACTTGTACTTCTTTTCACTTACCTTACTTGTATGTATGTATCTGACTTGGTTCTTATGTAAGAAGATCTCCTTACATAATAGAACCCAAGCAAACATCACCAATGAGAAAAATCTAGATACATTTCGACATGTAATTGGGCGATACACGACTAGTTGCCATCCAGATCACTAGTTGGAAAAGGCCTTTTAACTAGATGTGTCTGCATGTGTAACTAGCAATAGTTAAATCGATAGTTGCAACTAGAACATGTTTAGCAATCGCCCAATTACTAGATTTCCACCTACGCAATAGTTGCAATCGAGTAAAAATCTAATAATCTAGATGAATCGAGCGATACTAGATTTTTTTTCCACGCTTGGGAATCTGAAGGTAATATAACTTAACTACAGTACTTTTTACTCATAACACATGATACAAAAGTTAATGGCAAAAATGTTAACGGTTATGTTTCTACATTCACGGTATACGGTAAACCGTCACGAGAAATCCAGAACCAGATGAAGAGCGGGTGCGAGTAGTTTGAATATCAAGGAATAGTAGTGACCTATTTTTCTTCATTTCGTACGTACACTCAATTTCAGGATGAAAATCATTTAATATTCGTTCCAGATTATTGATCTTGGCATTATTCAGTAAAACAAGAAAAGTGTCGTCAACGAATCTTTTCCGCCATAGAACACCATTATTTTTCAGTGTCACCATCAAGAAGTTTTCCAAGTGAACCACAGAAATATCTCCAAACACAGAGCTTAACGGAGAGCCCATTGCAATACCACTGATCTGACAATACAGATTTCCGTTGAAAATGAAATGAGTCTCAGAAGTAGCCGCCTCCAATAGCTAGCGCATGTCTACACGATCACGGCAGTTCTTACACCATTTTTCTCGTTTAGCACATCACTGTGACAAGAATGAGCATGGCCATATAATTCATTCAAAATCAGATCAATAATATAGTGCAGCGGAACTCTTGTAAACAGACTCGTAACGTCAAAAGATGCCAGTCTCACATTAGTGGTGTCAAATCGTAGACGATGAAGGTCATCAACGAAAGAGAATGTGTCACGAATGACGGTATCATACCGCCGCAAATGATTGACACGTTTAGCCAGACAGATGGCCAGACCATAACTGAAAGTGCCTGAGGCTGAGAAACTCCCGTCTTCTGCCGGAGTAACGGTGTCTTTATCCGCTAGGCTTTAGCTTTTACATCATCGTATGTCGTGTACTCTCACACTGACCTTATATCAGTCCATTCTCTTCAGATATATTTTGATCTGCCATCTCTTCCATCAAACTTTAACGTCGGATTAGCATACAATGAGAAGTGTTCTCATTTTGATTTTGACAGCCATTTTTGTTGCGAGCGCGTCAGCAAACACGAGATTGCAGGGATCAGTTTTCAAAAATAATCCGCATCAAGCTGCAATGGCATCAGCACCGTGAGTGTATTATGTGTCTTGCTTGAATATTTTATGTCTAAATGTGGTATTATGTTTGCGTATTCGTTACACACAGGATGTGGCATTTTGGACGCTCATGGAACAGGGTATGTCAAGTAGAATTGGACTGTTTATTAAAGTCAGAATCAGAAGACCATTGAATTGACATGAATTGTTAGCATTTTTAGAAACCCTGTTATCCGGACTCGGCCACACAAGATGGAAAAGGTGGTCACATTCAAACGGATGGTACCCCAGCGGATATTTTTTTAACTGGTCGTGGTTGTAACGATCCTGGAGATTGGAAAGGACCTCGTACTTGGGGAAATCCTTTTCCAACGTACTACACAACGAAGTATTGCCCCAAGGACAATAGCTGGAGAATAACCTACAGTCTTTATTTCAAACATGTATGGAAAGATATTCTTTTGTCCGTGTTTGTTAACTAGTACCTCTCTTTTTCTGCATTGATAATCTTTGTATACAGGATGCCGGTCATATGAGTGATTGGGAATGGGTATCAGTGGTTTGGTGGCAAGACGCAGGTACGGACAACTGGTATCGCGGGTATCTTTTGGAGTCATACCACCGTGGACAGAAAGCTGAACGCTGGCAAGATATTCAAAACACCTTTGCTGGGTAATAAGAAATTCTTACTTCATATTGATAGGCAACATGATTTATCATTTGTTTTAACGGTGGAATAACCTTGACGACAATAAGAAAAATGAAGATCATCCGAAAGTTTTCGTCGGTGCTTTCAGGCATGCCATGTTTACAACAAAGAACACAAGACTAAACACTCTTGGAGCGGATGCTGATGAGTTTCGCTCGGATGATTGGAGACTTTTTCCTTGGGACGATGTCATGCAGAATGGCCTTGATATTCCTGGTAAGAGTCGAAATTAGAGGTCCACTAATTCCGTACTCATTGGCTTGAAATTGACCTAAGTTATCAGCATGTTCTTGATGAAGTATAGTTATGAAGTCTATTTTCTTTATGGGTTACAACCATACAGTCATCAAAATAGAGTTTTGACGATTTTTTCACACAACTTGACAAAAAGTAATTGACAGTGAGGTACATGAGATAATCGATAGTGGGAAATCCGAATTGTGAGATACATGCTTGAAAATTGTAGACAACTAAGCATTATGTAAGGCTCCTTCGTCTCGTTGTACTAGATCTATGTATTGAAGAAAAGAGGCGGCAAAGAGTAAATAATCTCCATAACTCTATTCGATATAATCAACACTATTTATGGCCTCAACTTTAGATTCCGCACTTCCGGTTATCTGTAGTGCAGCTTTGTAAAAAGTCATCAATACTTAATTTTGACGGCTCTACGGTTGTAACTTTTAAAAATAGATTTCATAATTACGCTTTTTCGCAAGCAGAATGATATAGGTTAATTCTAATTCCAGCCGACTCCAAGCTAAGAATCGGAATTGATGCATTTCTAGCCAAATACACATATTTCTTAGTGTTCGTATATAACTAATTCACTATGGCTTCATTTCATTGCAGCCAATTGGAATTGGGGTGAGGCATGGTCTTCTCCTGCCAATATGTATAATATTATTTGCGACAGATGGTAATCAAGAAGCTACAACATTGAACTCACTAATTCCACTAGCATTTCTGATTTATTCGACTGTTAGTGACAGACATACTATCGTAGTTGATCTTAGTGATGAAAAGAATACTAATAAAAGTTAATTTTTCAGTATTCAGTCTTTCATTTATCACGTTCATTTGAAGGGTATGAATATAATAGTAAAGAGAGATGATCCTTGTAAAAATGACGGAAATACGTTCATGACACCATAGCCTTGAATTTTTATGTATAACAATGAGACAAAATGTGTTATCTGGAAGATAACACGCTGTCGTATCATTATCATTGCATTATTTGTCCATTCGAGCATAATGAATTGTAGATCAGTTGGCTTGTTGGTTTGAAAAGACTTCTCGTCTTCAATACTTTCCCAGCGTCAATGTCTAGCCATACTATAGGTTACGGACCATGGCAAGTCGAACGAAGTCATGCGCTTTTGATGGAAAAGAGATTCAAGACGATCTGACCACTTACTAACCACTAGCCAATAGTTAAGTCTCTATCAATTCTTTCACATTTACGTTTCATTTGACATTATGATTCTGCAGTAAAGCGTTTGTTTTTTTCCTTTGTCGTATAGCTTGGGGCAAAGACAATTTAAAACTTCATTTCTATCTTAGAAAGTGGTATTACTGTTTTTACATGGAAGACTTCGAAAGTTGAGTCTGACACACCTATAACTAAAATAAAGGATCGATCGGTCATTTAAATTCAAAAAAAGGTTTATTGAAATTAGTTGTCTTTGAAGAAAACAAGCTCGACTGCAGAATAACAAACGAATTAGAATGAACACTATAAGCAAACTATATATCGAGGAAAAAGAAAAAATGTAGTAGTTGTGCTGACATCTCCTAAAGATTCCGATGGAAAACTGCATAGTATCCTGCAACTGATCATTTTGCGCATACAATTTGATCACTAGAAAAATAATCATAACGAAATGAATTGATTGGATGCCCACTCTCATAGTAGACAATATATAGCAAGCATCATATATCATTCGATGCAAGGTTTCATGACCTACAAAATGATATGGTTTATTTGAAAAGACATCAGTTCCAAAAGCTCCAAAGTCAGGTTAATATACAGTGCACTAAAAGGGATCAGTTTTTTATCAATCATTCCGGGGACTACCTATCTTGAATCACTCTGCTTTAGATAGAATTAAATGTAGAATATTAAAAATTAACAGCAAAGAAACAGGAATTCTGAAGATAGGGTTCCTATTGGAACCTTTAAATAATTATAAATTAATTCAAACTAATTTCTGATCCAGGAAAAGATGAAAAATTACTTTACATCAATTTAAGAGACCAAATTAATTTAAATTCGTTTGTAGTAAATTAATTTACATCAATTTCGAAGTTAAAATCAAATAGAATTAGCTACAATTAGTTTGAAAAAACATTAATTTAAATTAATTTTAACTAAACTGGTTTAGATTAATTTATTTCGAACTCATTCGAGATAATTTTTTGCTTTAAATTGCTACAAATTGATTTCGACTCTCAAATTCATTTACGTAAATGCTGTTGTAATAGATTTGTAATAACTTTGGTAATATAAATTAGTTTTAATTAATTTTGAGAGTGGAAATTAATGTAGATACGTTTAAAATAATTTATTTTACGGTAATTTTTACGGCCAGTTTGTTCAGAGCATTTGCCGCGATGCTTATATCTCCACGAAAACTCATCAGAAAATTCTAGAAAACATCTCATTGTGAAGAAAACACATTCTGCCATCAGACTACGTGAAAGAAATATTTTGAATATACAGAAAAGAAGAGAAAAATTTATGAAACGAAAAAATTGAGCACCGGGAGTGGTCTCATTTTGTAGCCCACACTTTCCTCTACATTAGGCTATGTTCAGCTCAGAATCGAAATTTTTTCAAAAAAGAGGAGGAGGGTGTACCCTTAAACTAATTTTCACTATCAAATTTATTTAAATTCAATAACATCTCTCCTTTATCAGTCAAATGTGTATATTCGATCGAGAAAGAAGTGACCGGAGGTATTTTTTGCATCACGAGTAGGGGTGGTACATTACTGTTACTTTTACGAGTAATCCAAATATTGTATATATTCCCATTACCAGTAACAGTGATACTTTCCAGTTTTACTGTTGCTGGTAATAGGAACGCTCAGAAAATTTGTACCAGCAACAGTAAAACTGGAAAATATTACTATTACTGGTAATAGGAATATATACAATATTTGGATTACTCTTAAAAGTAATAGTAATGTGCCACCCCTAATCACGAGTTTTCTCCCAAATTTGCAAAAATAAGGTAAAAGATAAGCTTACTCAGCTTTTATTTTCCACTACTACTTAACATGTTATGAATGCCAATAATTCGATCAAAAACTACAACCTCCTGGCGCTCGTGTTTGCTTTGAGTTATATATCAAAGAGAATCATAGCACTAAATAACCGGACAGTAATTTTTCGTTGAATTATCCATCCTTTCTTTTCCAGCTGAAGGCTTCTTTTGGACGGCTACCGGGAACAACCTCTCTTGGATACAAAAGTTAGAATAAATGAATATTTCGTTTCGAACATAACACTTTTTCGAAAAATAGAAGTGCTATTCCTTGAAGTTTGAAGATGAATTATGGAGAAACATGAAAAATTATATATTAAAGTCTGGCTGATATGTGGAGTATGTATTTTTTGAGGTTGAACTGATGTGAGACAATAACAATGAGTAATTCGTTTTCTTTGTTTTATTAACCTGACCGGTTTCGAATTCTTCTTCAGAGGCTAACAAAAAACTGTATTTTATGTGTCACTTGTTTCCAGAAACCCTTTTGGAAAACCTTAGGGTTTTGTAAAATTTGTCTCGAGATCTCCTATAAACAGGATATAGAATAGCTTAACTACTCTACATTCTGAAGTTTTGAGCTTCATCTGATGTATTTTGAGCGAATAATGAATTTTCTAATATTAGGTGAAAAGAGCCTGAAAACCCTACTTTTCATAAAACTCGCTTTTCGCTAGATTTTTAAATTTTTTCTAAAATTCAATATTGTCACAAGATTCAGCATGGGCGATTACCCATAGTCCATCCGTCTTTAAGGCTACCAATAGTCACCGGGTGTCAGTCCTGGGACTCGTAGGAAATCCGATACAACGCCCGAACCACGGAAAATCAAGACCTCGTCTGGCTTCCATTTACAAGAGAAAGGATGGATAATTCAACGAAAAATTAC